GACTCTTGGAAGATAAGTGTGTTTGTCTTCCACTTGTAAATTTTCTACTGATGAATTAATGAAAGTGTTATTGATCCAAAAAAAAAAATGATTCATAGGTTTAACGTTTTCCATCATGGTCCTTGACGGAAGGGAGGTTTTTGTCGAGTTCTTTAAAAATCCAAGGGAGGATTTTGCTAAAGTGAAACTATAGGAGAGGTTCTTATGATTGTCAGAACCTAGTAACATTCAAGCTCAGTGAAGATGGCAAGATATAAACTGTGTTAGGGTCCTAAAATGATGGGATGATTGTGTGCTTTGTGTTATATGTTGTTTGGAGTTTGGACATGATGTACATGACTACATGGTAGCGTATTATTGGGGGCTGTCATTGCTCATCAAAGAATATTTTTATTTTTTGTCTCATTTGTCATAGTAATTTACATAAGAAGCCAATGTGGCATGTGTAAAAGATATAATCATTGAGAAGCCTATAAGAAACTAATACTATAATATAGTGTTTACCATCCAAATATGATTTCTCAACAAGTTGGGGCTTTTACTTCTATTATTTATTGCATTAGCTGATAAGAAATTGTATTTTTCTGAAAACACCCAGCTCAGATCAGATGACTGAACCATGCTGTATTACCCAAATGCAGTTGCACCAACTGGACCAAGCTGACCTAAGCACTGAGGCACTTTGACTAGGGGGGCAACTTGAGTGTAGCATTTAGCAGACTACATGATTAAGTTATTTGCTTGTCTCAAGTCAAACTTGAGATCTGTTGCATTGGAATTGGATGTTGGATAACTATTAGCAAATCAAATAACATATGGCTTCATTTTACCAGTGTTTCCAAACTCGTAGTTGGATGTTGGATGATTATTTTCCTGTATTTTGCCTTCTCTGTTACTATCTGTCATACAACCTATATATACATTTTTTAATGCTTGACAGACAGGTAGAGCATATACGCAATTGAATTTCCACCAGAAGAGCATACCAAGATGAGCCTTCTCTAGCACGTTTGGAATAAGAAATCACTATCCAAGGAGGATTCTTGGAACTATGAAATTATTTTATATTTGGATAACATCAATTCACAATGCCAGGATTACCTTTGGTGGCTCGTGAAACTACGTAAGCTCTCTTTGAAAATTTCCTGTTGTGTATTTGGGCCTTTTTTTATGAATTAGTATAGTAAATAATGATGCATGTGATGCAGAAAGAAAGGAAGTACAGAGAACACAAGGTATTAAAACCAGACCCAAAAATAAACATTGGAATGATGCACCATTGTATCGAAAATACCCAAATTTTGCAATATCTTTATCTTCTGTTAAATCACAAGGTATTAAAACCAGACCCAAAAATATTAATATTGGAATGGTGCACCACTGTATGGAAAATAGCCAAAATTTGCAAAATCTTTATCTTCTGTTAAATCATAAGTGTGCTTTTTCTATATTGTTTGTTTCCCTGGAACACATGGGAACAGAATGTTCTTTTTTTTTATCAATAACAAAAATTTTCATTAATGAGAAATAGTCAATTACAAAAGTGGGAACTGAATGTTTTAGGATCATGTTGTGGCTCCTTTTGCCATCTCCTAGCCATGATGGAAGGGGAAAAATGATTCTTGGGCTGAATGTATGTCAGTCTTCAAGGCCCATCCATGTTAGAATCTGATATATCAATCAGAACTGAGGAAACAAAGAAAAGCTGCCCCTCACTATTCTTGAAAATACCTCTATTACTCGAAGAACTGGAGGCCTGATATAACATTAGTCAAATAAGTCTCTCTGCAAGCCCTTGATGTCAATCTTTTTACAATTATTCTTTTCTATTTAACAAATATATGCATTTAGGTTGACTCGGTTATGTTTTTCTTTTACTAGTCTCTTGAGTTTATTTTCTACGGGGTGATATATATTAGCCCTTTGTTTGCGGACTCTGCTTGTTTGCACACGAAGACAATGGGCAAATAAGGGGCCGTTTGGCAAGTCTTTCTGGGAAGATCTTCTGGTAGCTCTGACGGTTAAAAGATGCATTGAGCTTTTGCATTAAGATCTGAGCAGCCTGAAGCCTGTTTAGTTAAGGTGTGTCTTTCCGCACCAAGAGTCCTCGGGTCGGCTCCTAACTAGATTTTCTATCATATATATATATTTGTGTATTTTCAAAGTTTCACTTATTGTTATCAATGTTTTTTGATTGCTTTGGCATTTCATTTTTCACTTTACTGTTGTCTGGGTTTCATAATAATTTTCAGTGGTTTTTGTGGTTTTGTGATTTGTGCTCATTGAAATAACCCTTCTCAAAAATTGACAAAATTCTTAGTGTTGTTGTAGGAACTGGTATTTCTTTATGCAGGGAATAACCATTCTTTCCTTGGATTTTTTTTTGACATTCTTTCTTGGATTATTGTTAACAATACATATTTTCCAATTATACAGGTTTAGCTAGCTTACGATATAAGAATTGGAGTGTAAATGGAAATTTTGGTATCTTATTTGCATGAATGGAACAGGAATCCTGGATGCAATTGCAGTCATTCTAGACCTGTTGATCAGATGTGCCGCCAAGATTCTCGAGTCCATTTGTCTGCAGAAGAGGCAATTGCAGCTGAAGAGAGTCTCTCAATTTATTGCAAGCCTGTTGAGCTTTATAACATTCTCCAGCGTCGTGCTTTACGAAATGTAAGCTTTCAGTTATGAGTTCAACAAATTATGTGGTTACTGTGATGGCTGACAGTCATGCTAGGTACAAACCTTGGAGGAGGGATGCATTGGGGAATGCTCCTGCATAGTTTGTAGCTGCTTTTCTGGTTATGTTGTCATGTTGGTTTTATTCTCTCTTGCTACACATATTTGATGTCTCTTGACTGTCTTGTTGCCGTTTTGGGATTATGCTTGTATTTTTTCATTCCTTTGATTTTTAAGTAACTCATCTTTTATTGATAAAAAGCAACTTATGTCCTTGTGCTAATCTGATGAGAACCTTTATTTGCAGCCGTCCTTTCTTCAAAGATGCTTGCACTACAAAATACAAGCAAAGCGCAAAAGGAGGTAATGAAATTTCTAATTATTAAAAAGGCTTCTTGGGGGCTGTTTGAAAATATGTATGTTTTTCTTTTAAGAAAAACAATTGGCTTACAAAAGCATATGTGTTGCTGAACACCTCTTTAGTTGTTGGAACTTGAAAATAAACCCCCGAAATAATTATTCTTGAGTATATATGCTGATGTAGTTTTTTGGCTCCTCTATGTTGCATACGTAAATTTTGTAAATAGACTGTTAGGTGTGGAAAGTGATGGCATTTGGAAATGTAGTATTTTGGTTTAGCTTTTTCTTTGCATGGAGTAGTCGAATAGGACTGCAATCAGTCCTAGGTATAATGAGTAATAAACAAGAAAAAGAATGAGAAAGAAAAAGAGAAGAAGGAGAAAAGAAGAGAAGGAGAACACGAAGAGGAGAATTCAGAGAATGTGGATTGACTAGTATTGTCGCCCCACTCATCCTTTTATATTAATAATCAAAATAAAAGTAAAAGGGCTGAATTACCCCTACTGCTTACATAGGCGGCAAAAGAAATAATAAACTAATAATAAACTACCAACTGAAATAACTACTAACTGAAACTAACTACTATCATAAACAAGTAAATAACAGTGGGGACCAGTTGGGCTTGGAGGTGTAATTTGAAATAGAAATGGTATCAGTTGGGCTTTTAGTGGGTCGGTTGGGATTGCCTCCTCAACAAAGGCCGAAGTCATGGCAGCTCTAACTGGCATCAGGATTAAATGGGCTTACTAAATCTTACCATTAAAGGAGACTCAGCCAGCACCATTAACTGGCTTTCTAATCCTGACAGTGGGTCTTGGGCCTTAGCTCACTACCTGGCTGAAGCGAGAGACATTCTTGCTTCTTTAAATGCCCATGTGGTCTGGATTCCGAGGGAGCTAAACTCTGAAGTTGATAGTCTAGCTAAATCTGGTGCTCACAGGGATTATCTTTTTAGTGATAGTTCTATGCCTATGTAATTTTCTGAGTACATTTGTCGGACAAAGTGAATGATCGGGGAATTCACTCTCTCTGATGGAAACCTAAACTGCCGGTAGTTGATTTCAACCGTTGAAATTTGTTTTTGCAAAATATATTTATATAGAGATATACTTATATATATTATGGTTTCAAAATGTTTGCATAAGGTTTTAATTCCCGGGATCCATGTGAGTATAGAGTGCAACACTGTTCCTTGCAGCCGAGGGAGAGGTCCTCTCTTGTCGGGCAGTGTTTGATCATTATAGGTTGAGAGGTTAAGTGTAAGACCATTGAGGGTAATACATGATGGACTAATCTTGCATCTGCCCATCGTCCTTGGGTTTTCATAAGGTGGTTGGACACAGGGACCATTTAGTATAAATGTTGGGCCCATTAAGAGCCCATGGTGATGGACTCAGGGGTTTACTGTCTCCTACAGTGAATTCGGCCAGGCCTTGTAACAAAGGCTGGGCTGAATCCATGTGACTGATGTGTAGATTAATGTTTGGGTCTCACGCCATACAAAGAGAGCCAACTGGGCAGCAGGTTTAGGGGTAAGTGAGCACATAAGTTTAATGGGTCTAAAGCTCAATTCGAACTAGGCTTAAGTTAGTTAATTAAAAGGAGGCAAGATAGGATTTATAATCTGATTAGGATTAGCTGAAGGATAAGATAAGTCTTATCCATTCAAGAGTCCAAATCCAAATATCAGATTTGGATTAAGGAACTCTCTCCTAATTAGATTAGGAGGCTGATCCTGAGAAGGCTATAAATAAAGGGGGCGAATTCCTCAGTTACACAAAACAACAACCTGCAAAATTCTCTCCTATTCTTGCCATCCCTACCTAGTTTGATCTCCTCTTGAGGAATTGATCAAGAAAGGTTCTTGATACTGTTTCTTGGCTGAAGAAACAATCTGAAGTCGTGCTCACCAGCCCCTGTTCGATTCTTGCTGAAGGATCCTGGTTCTTGCTGAAGAGCCATCTTGCTGATCCTGTTTCATTACACAATGTGTCATCTTCGGTGGAAGCGGGTTTTGGTATTCTCCATGGGCGTGAACACCTTCATTGGGAGTTACTACTACTTTGTATCAGGTATATCCCACTCTTATCTTTCGGTTTCAGATCTGGTCCGGTTTTGGATTCAAGAACGATCACTGAAAATGCAATTTTCTAAAATAGGGAATGCGGTTCCCAGATGGGAGAGAGAGAAATTTTTGAAATTTCACCCAACCTTCCTGCAGGGTTTGGCCATCCATATGATGGATCTCTTATCCCTTCATATACATCTGAAAGGGAGAGGGCATCTTGTTACCTTGTGTAATTACATTTAGATCACCATTGCAGACACTGCAATTAGAAGCATAATAACACAGAAGCAACCACCACAATACCCGCGATAAAGTCCGTTGCCATTGCCAATGGTGGCACAACTGCGCTGTTAGTAACTGAAACCATGGGGCCCTGTGACTTAACAAACCACGCAAAACCTATGGTGACACTTGCTATGTGCTCTTTAACTTCCGTACAGACAGAAGTATCATTCAGAACAAGTGAATGCAAAAGACTGCAATTACTGATAAAAAAACACAAGACTGCAATCTGCGATGTCACTAATAAACATAAACCATGTCCCGCTCTTAGGGTAGCCTGACAGTAGAGAACACCACTCGGACAGCAGCAATGATCTTCTATTTCCGATGTTACAAGCTCATCAAAGGAGCATCACCACTCCATGTGATTACGAGTGATCTATTGAAGGGGGCTATAGTTATAAGCATTCCCACATGAGAGTTTTAGGGACAGAAAATTCTGATCCCAAGAGATTCTCATGGACATGTGACGAAACCCTAGGGAGCTTACCCGTTATGTATCTGATGAATCAGAACCGCCTTTTTGGGACAGATAAGTTGCTTTCTATCATTTTCTTGTCTCCCTTTATAGCCTTACGCATTCGTCTATAAATAGGGGAGGCTCAAGGTCCTCCACTTGAGATCATCTTGTATGTATTGAGAGAGTTCTTGCATCCTGGCCTCTTGCTCCCCTACTACTATTGCAAATACCCTTACTCTGCCCATATCAACATCCTTCCTTCCCTTACCTCTCCGGTCATCCTCTGTCTTTCAGGGAAACCTTATTCTGTTGCCTTACCTCCCTACCTACACCTTGTACTGGTTTTCTTTTTTCTTTAATAAAATTTCCGTTTTTATGATAAAAAAGTGAAAACATGAGGGGGGGGGGATTTTTTGGGATCTAGTGATGCCACTCTAGCCACCAAGGAAGGGTTGCAATGTATAGTTATTCTTGATGTTGGGGTTTGGAAAGAGGTGTTTACTGATTTCTCGTTGTTCATTTCTTTCATGCTCATCCAGAATGGGTGATAATGGAAAACTGGTTTTTGTTTGGCTGAATGGGTTATTTGATCACCTTGGTTGAGAGAATTCAGTGTGGACTGTTCTTTCTTTTGTTACCATAATTGTGGTTCTTTTGTTCTCAAGGAGGGCAATAAATCCTTTAGTTGGTTGGATTTGTTGGTGGACAGATTGATTCCCTTCATGAGTTCCATTTAAACTCTTTGCATCTGCCAAGTGGTGAATTAGGGGAAATGCATGAATTCTTGTTATGCTTCTAATGGGAGGCTACCTTTAGTGTGACTGGTGATACTTTAGGGGAAATGCATGATCTTATGGATGAAAAAGTCTTAAGTTGGAGCTGGGTTGGGCTTGTTGTGTCTTATGATTCAGGTAAGAAGTTCAACATCACATTTCAGGGATCCAGGAATTGGAGATCAAAGGTTAAGGGAAAAATTACAACTATACTATTTGAGACCTCTCTGGAGGTAATGCTATCTGACATTACCAGTTCCTGCCATATCAACAGTTCAAACTGTTAAAAAAAACTTTTACCTGCAACCCAAGACTCCAAAGGGGATAGTGAAATCAAATAACCAGTCTTTGAGGAAAAATTGAGACACAAATGGTCAAATGCAAGGCTGCAGATTGATATCTTTCTACAAAGGAGCTCTGGAAACGTTCAATGGCTGAAACCAAACCTTAAACTGCTCAAATAAGAGTAATCTTCTCCTCCGAAGCATCAAAAAAGGCACTACCACCCCCAACACCAAAAAAAAGGGACAAATAGGGCTGGGTGGTAAAATAAAGGGGAAAAGATTCTTAAGAATTTCCAGATGTCTCCAAATAATGTCAAATCACTTTTAGTTTGAAGAGATTTTCCATGCATCAACCACATTCAATCCCAACAAGAAACACTTGCCTAATTGAGCTCTAGAGGGATTTAAATGAAGAACTGAATTTCTGCGATTTTTCAAGCAACAAATCTGGAAAAATACAAACCTTATTTTGATAGACATGAAACATACACCGAAATTCTCCGTAAATCCTGTTCTATCAGGTGGTGATAACTGATATCCCCTTCTCCTGGCAATCGGTCCCTATGTGATCGCTGACATCATCTTACAACCTGATGATGTTGGCAGGTCATTTAGCCCTAGGTTTGAAAGACAATCTCTGACTCAGTCAAGCACTGCTCTAATGCCAAGTAAAATTTGTTAGGTGTGCCTGAATCAGTAGTTTAGGGTTTGAGTGCAAGAAGAAGAATAAAAAGAAAAGGTAGAGGAGAGGAAGAGTAGGGTTCGGCGGGTTCTATCCAACTCCCTCAATGTGTTTTATTCCCACTAAGAGTGACATGTAAATGTACAATTCTTCCCTTACAGTAAGACGTATGGCTCCCTCTCAGCCCATTACGTATAAGATCACCAAAGTACGCTTTTTATACATGAATATAAGACTACCAATACTTCCAACAATCCAGGGATTTTAGAGATTAGTGGAGTGTTAACACTTGTCATTGGTGGAAAGTTGTCATTTGTTAAGGCCATTCACTGTTCTTTTTGCATGCCTAACTCTGTCAAGTCTCTTCTTGAGAGCTGGAAAGTTGAAGGTTTAAGCAAAAATGGTAGGATCGTGTGGAATGTAATTCCTTTGGCAGTTCTGTGTTCCATTTGGAGGGAGAGAAATAGGAGGATCTTTGATTAAAAACAGATCCAAGTAGAAAAAGTGATTAATTCAGTTGTAGATGATCTGAGAGGGTGGCTGAGCTCAAATGTGCTGTTCAAAAGAGATGTATCAAGTGCTGGTGTAGTGGTTAATTTTTTCAAAGATTCGTAAGGTGTTTCTCTTGCACAGCCTTTGTGCAGTGAACCCTTCCTGTATCTTTCGTTTTTTTTTTTTTTTACATAATAAAATCTTACTTTACCTCTTCAAGAACAAGAAAAAAAACTTGTCATTGGTGTAAGTTTGGCTTTGTCTTCTAGGCCTGCAGGAGATGGGGACTTTAAAGGGCTGAACTGCTTGCAGTACTACAATCTTGAAGGTTGACTAAACCTCTCTTCACAGTTGCCAATAAAAACTTGTCATTGTGTTTACTTTTAGGGGCATCATCCTATCAACCACTTTTGAAGAGCTCTAGCATCATCTTCATCAGGTTACCAACTTACTTTTGTACAATGCCATTGTGAGATCAATAGGACCCAGATATTTTTCATTGCCCATTTCTTTCTACTGTTTCCCAAAATGTCATCGTTTTCATATTCTCTCTCCAATCCTCTAGCCTTATCACAACTCAATCTTGAGGTTCAACCCCCTTAATGTTGGTAGATGGCCCTTGACTGATGTATACAAGTTCCTATAAATTCCACAATCAATCCCCTACTCCATTTGTTCTTGTCTACCATTCTACCTCCCACATCTTGAGTCTTATGTGGCTGGCTATACTCCTAACTATAAAGTGTAACTTCATGAAATGTTTTCTTCTTTGAATTATGGGTATAATGTCATTGTTAGTACTTTATTAGTGCTAGTGTTGGCTTGATTTCCTTGTAAGGTCATAACTGCATTAGAAAGGACCTACTTCCTGATTTGGTTTAAACTAAAGTCCTTTTTTTTTGACTTCTATTGAATTTAAAGTTTACTTATTATTTTTCTTGTTTTGTTGTTATTGCTGCTACTAATGATTCTATACAACTTTTCTTTAGTTGGTTTCATCAGTAGTCTTTGTTAAGTGTACATACACTGATTGGTTTGCTACTGGTAAATTTATAGGATTCAGATGACTGTGTCCCTATCTGGTGCTGTGAATGATGGAGTGCAAGCACACAATCTTTTACCTCTATACATCATTTTGGCTAGGCCCATTTCTGACATTGCAGCTGCAGGGGTATGATCTTGTCAATATTTGCACTTAACCCCAATCGGTTTTGTCAATATCCATCTGTTTTTTATACTATATTGCTCATTTTTTGTGCTTTATATCCCTGTGTTTAGCAACAGAATTCTGCAGTCTTTTGCCTTGCGCGAACCTGTCTTATAGTTGCTTCAAGTGAATTTGAGGGGAGGAGTCAAACTGAAGCAAATTTTGTTCTCCCTGAGATTCATAGGCTTTCGGCTAATGAAAAAGCTAGCATACTCACCGTCTTACTTGTCAGCTGTGGTACTTCCTAATTGCATATGATTAATGCCAGTATATGACTTTTCAAGAGATTGACTTGGTTATATTTCAATCATGTTGCAGGGGAAGCTAACAATTCCTTACCTGGAAGTGCTATGGCAAAGGACCATTTGGATATGACATCATTTTCATGTAAGTTTTATTTTTTATGAATAACATAAGCAATGTTATTAATGAAATATCAGAAAGTAAGTCAGATATCCCAGAGGTTCTGATGGCCTTGTCACAAAATATGTACATGTTAGATGTTTTCAGATGCTAGATTGTTGTACTTTATGATTCTTACATGCTTCATTGATACTGCTGGCAAGATTTTTTTGTTTTTTTTTGGGTTTTATACTTCAATTTTTTTTTGTGTTTTTATTAAATGAAGTGTTTAATGTGGTGTGGTTTTCACTCAAATCTCGGTTGTGATTGATTTGAGAAAGCGGGAAATTTCTTGTGGCATTTATTGGGGGGGGGGTTGGTCAAAATCTTATGATTTTGGATACAATTCACAATTGAAATCACGAATCTTAGGGCTTTCAATTCAAATATAATATCTGAATCTTTTTCTGTTTAAATCTTATGATTATTGTTTGAATCCTATGATTGGATCCATAAATCTTATTATCTTCTGATTTAGATGATTAATGTGACTTGACAATTAGGACTTAGTTCTTTACTTTGTCATTCCTTTGTTTCTTTTAATTTTTTTAAGGGAGACTTGTTTGAAAGCCCTTACTAGAAAATGATTTAGTCTAATCAGCCATTATATATAATTTCGTTGACTTTCAAGTCAAACTTGATTATGTTATCTTATGCTTTTTTTTTGATCAATGTGATCTTATGGTATCTTATGCTTCTAGTGTTCAAGTGGTGAACTCATTTGTTTTTAGGTACATGCATGGTGGATATGGATTTAAAATATAGTAAAATAATTTTTCTATAAATTTTTAAGTTTTTAATATATCTGTTTCTAGTTTTTGTACAAGTTTATAAAAATATAACTAACCTTAATAGTTTTGATACAAATCATGGTTTGAATTGATTCAATTTTCTTTCTGATTTTTTTATTTTTTTTTCAAGAAGTATAGTATCCATTCATTAAAAGAAAAAGATCAAAACAAGTACAACCAGTGCTATACAAAGGAGAGTAGAAAAATCATTCAGACCACTATCCCATTAGGAATTACAAACAGACTTCCAAGATTATAAAGGGAACTATAGAAAGAACTGTCAATATTTAGCTGTACCACAGACCAATAGTACAATTTCCCCACAATTCTCTGTCACACTTCATCCTCTTGACAGCCTTTATTTTGGAACATCCTTGAGTCTCTTTCTTGCCAAAACGACCAGGAAACTGCACCTAGAATCAAGTGCAATAAAATTTTCCCTTTCTTACTTAGGCTTTGTATCCTCTAGCTCTTCACAAATTCATCCAGTGATGCTAGGCAACTACTTAATGCAAAAATCTTAAAAATCCTTACGTAGATATTTTAAACAACCATGATTTGTGTTGGAGGTTCCAGAGAGAAGAAGGAGAAGGAGAAGAAGAAGAAGGAGAAAAGGTCACAACCGAACTAGAGAGAAAAGCATCATGTTCATCAGTTAAGGTGGTAGGGATGAGGAGACCGCCGTGGATAGGCGGTAGGGATCCAAAGACCAGGAAAGGGGTTTCATTCAAAGAAGTGACTGAAACCCGAGTTTGGCCAACCAAAGGTGAGGTCAGGTTCTTCCGGAGTGATGAGTTGTTCTTCATTGAGACGTCAGAGAAGGGCCTAAACCTTCGAAAAAAATTCTTGGAGGGCTGCCTTGTTGGTAGGTTCGTGGCAGAGGTGCTTGATCTCGCAGTAGTGGCGAGGTGGGCTTAGGAAGCTTGGGGTGCTGTAGGGGAGATGAAGGTTAAAAAACTTGTGAAGGGATTGTTTCTGTTCATTGTCCCCTCGGAGAAAGAAGCGGCGACGCTTCTCAGTGGTGCGCCGTGGTACCTGGGGAAGAACATGCTTCTCCTTGATAGATGGAGTGCCTGTGCGGGTTGTAGTTCCAACGAACCTTCCGGGAGAGGTAATCTCGATCAAAAGATCTTGGTCCGTATTTATGGACTCTCGTTGATCTTGTGGAGTCCGGAAGTCATCTCTGCGGTCGGGGATTTCTACGGGGGCTTCCTAGCCACAAATGACTCCACAGAGGAGCTGGCAACCTATGAATGGGTGAGATTGCAGGTGGCGTGGAGGGGATAGATTCCGACAACGATGGATGTTAGAGTGGGTGAAGTGGTGTATAATATCCACATTTGGCCAGAACTGGAACCTTCGGTGAGGCCGGTTACGAAGTTACAGAAATCGGCGAAGAACATTTCGAGGGATGAAGTGATTGAAAGCTATGCAGTAGAGACCTGGGGGGTGGTTGAGAAGGGGGTGAGGGTGGGTGTCGTGTCGGCCGGACTTTCCACGGGTGACCCGGATGGTTGAAGTCCAAGAGATTTGGAGAGGATGACAAGGGAACCGTCGATTGTGGTAAACGGGAAGGAGAATCAGACGATGGAGAGGAGGGTAGCGTCTAATAGTGTATCTGATTACGGACAGGCGGCTCGGTTTCAAAATTCGAACAAGGCAAAGAGGAGTGCTAAGTCTGACCTTATGCCTGACAGCGTTCAAGGGCCTCAGACTCAAAGTTTGAACAAGTCGGAGAGAGGCTATTGGCCGAATAGTAAAGAGGAGTTGAAAGATTTAATATGGGAATGCTTGCTGGAGATGGGTCACATGGGCGGAGAGGGTAGGGAAGAATGGGTCGGACGGAAGACTCGGAATTTCAATCACAAAAGGAGGTCTAGGAATCTGTTTCGTATTAGGGGCTTGGACCATGGGCTAGGGGATAAGAGAGGGGAGGACCGATGAAAAACTGGGACCCAGTTTTCTTTAGCTGCTGGGCCGGTTGGGGGAGATAGTCAGGGGAGTCATGAACCTAGCTTTGAGTATGGAGGCCAGAATCGGAAGCTTCCAAATGTGTATAGAAGGGACCAGGGGTGATCAAGATCTTCGAGGGAAGGAGGGGACAGGCGAAGAATCAAGGAGCCCTTGCAGGGAGGCAGTGGGAAAAGGGAAAGCAGTGATGGTGGAGGCAGAAGCTGTGTCATCTGACGAAGATGTGGACAGAACGATTGCTGACGACGTTCCTGAATTTAGAGGGAGCCCCAATAAAATTCAGAATGATATGGAGAAATAGTGAGGGCCTTCATGGGGAAGTAGTGTCTCCATTGTAGGTTGTGGAACCGTCATCGGAAGAGAGGACGGGAAAAGGAGAGGGGAGTGAGTTTCTGCTTAGTATGGCCGTGGTGGAAACACAAGCTCGTTGGAGTGAGGGTGATGGAGAGGCAACATTGCTGGAGGGTGGGGAAGTCTCGGAGGGAACACTTCTGTCGAGTTGGGTGTTATCCAAATACTTGAGTTTTGTGGAGTTTCTTGGGGTCTCAATGGAGGGTCTCGAGAAACAGACGAAGGACTTCCTAATGGAAATTGAACACAGGGTTTTACGGGACAGAGGTGTAGTGAATGCCAAAGGCAAGAAGAATGCGAAAGGGAAAAGGGAGTTGCTACGTCTCACTTGGGGCCTAAATGATAGGGTGTGGTGTACAAAGGACGGTGGTAGAGGGAGGAGAAAAGGGAGGTAGGAAGTAGGGGAAAGGGGGGGGGGATAGGAATGTATTTGAGTAATGATGAAAATTTTGTCGTGGAACATTCGTGGCTTGGGTTCGGGGTGGAGAAGGGTTGTCATCTGCTCCATAATAAAGGCACGCAAACCAGATGTCATTTTACTTCAAGAGACAAAATTGAGTAGAATGGATGCATCAGTGGTTAGAAGCGTGTGGGGAGATGGCAATGCTGGTGGAGATGTTTAAATGCTTCAGGAACAGCAGGGGGAATTCTAGTAGTATGGAATTCCAATACTGTCACGATCAGTGACTCCATGGTTGGAAATTACTCGGTCTCCATTGAAGTTGTAGGGACAGGAGATTTCAAAGGGATAATTACTGGGGTGTATGGCCCAAATGATGATGTTGAAAGGCAGAACTTCTAGGAGGAGCTGGGCAGAATAAGGAGTAGGGGTAATATTCCCTGGTGTATAGGCGGAGATTTTAACATTATAAGATTCCCACGAGAAAAATAGAGGTGTGAGACGGACTACGGGGATGTGGTCTTTTGGTGAGTTTGTTTACAGACATGGTCTGGTGGACTTGCCGTTTTCTGGTGCTAAGTTCACTTGGACTAATAACCAAGGCGATCCTACTTTAGTTCAGCTTGTCAGATTCTTGGTGTCAACAGAGTGGGAGGAAAGTTTTCCTAACTTGTTTCAGGAAGCTCTACCAAGACCTGTGTCTGATCATAGGCCTATTCTTCTTAGGGGGGAGGGCCTGAGGAGGAAGTCGGGTCCTTTTCAGTTTGAACACTTGTGGTTTTAGGAGGTTGGGTTTGAAGAGAAGTTGAAGGAGTGGTGGTTATCTTTTGAG